TTTTTTTAATATTATATCATCTAATAGCACAATAAACTATATTTAAACACCTTCTTACATGTTTTCTATTATGCATAACAAATATCCTATGACTTATGTATGTAATAACATATAAGGATCCTTTGGAATAACAGATATGCATTAGGGACTTTCAAAAGGGTATCTATTATAAAAATTATGTGTATACTATTTGTAAATTTCTTTATTATTTTAAATAAAAAATATATCATGCATAAATATTTTTAATTATAAAAAGGATAAAAAAATATTTTATGCTCAATTTATATATATATTAATATTATAAAAAAAGTACATGATATAATTATGTTTCCCCAGAGCATATTGATATTTGAAGTTGTATTACTTAATGAGGCTTAGAAAATGGTTATAATGCATTATGCTCCATGTTAATTAATTCCCCACAATAATTGTATTTAAAATTTTACTATCAATAATCTATTAATAAATAATTATATAAAATATATATAACAAAATGATATTTAAACTATAATATAATTCATACTTTATATACAATTTAAGACAATAAATGAAATGTTACATTTATTACATTCTTAGGGAATGAAAAATAATTATATTCATTAAAAAAGAACCCCAATACATAATAACATATAAACCTATATTAAATACTATTAGATATTATAATTAAATAGCTTATTATATGTGTACTTAAATTTAAAAATATTATTGATGTTGATAAATTATCATTTTTTAATGTTATAATTGAATGATAAATGAAATCGAAAAAATAATTGTAATTATATATTAAATAATAAAAAAATATAAATAAAATATATGTGTATACACACACTGAAAAAATGTTAATATTAGTATGTATGAACCAAATAATTAAAAAAAAAAACACTGGTCAAATAGCATAATTATAAATGAAATAATCCAGATATGTATTGAATATAATATAAATGTTAGGTTTCATATATTCATCTAATTAAACTACAATTTATTATATATATATAGAACTGTTGAATTAAGACGAAGGTTTTATTACAATAATTTATATAATTCATAATTTTACAAATAATAAATATTGTTTGTAACAATGAAAAACCTATATAAATGTAATTTAAAACAAATTTACAAAACAATTTTTTCTTTTCAGTGCTATTAAGCATTTTAAATAATAATTATAACAGAATTATATTATTGTATAAACTTACAATAAATCTTATTACATATATTTATACTATTCAGGAATATGTCCATTCTTTAAAATACATATTTTTAAAATTATTATATATACAGAATAATATTCATTTGTTTTGTACACAACAGTTTTTAGGTTTTATATATAATCCTACCTATAATTATTTTGCTAACAATAATAGAATATTTCTCTCCCTTAGATATTGAATACATAAGAGCTACAATATATATAAATGCATATTCTAATTTTATATTTTCTTATTTCCATTAATATAAATTATTTAATCAAAGACTAAATATGTAAAGAGTATATTTGTATGACACTTAATATTTTAGAGATTTATAAATTATAAAACATAAAATTAACATACATAAACATAATGCATTGTTTCATGAAAAAGCTCATTCTATCACATTAATATATTTGTTTTTATTTTATGTATGTATTTAATAGATATGCTAAATTTTGTCTTAATTTATAATCCAATATATAAATTGTTTCATGTCATCAAGCAGTTGGGATAGAATATCAGTAAAATATATTTAATTTACTAATAATGATATCTCATTGATTATTATTATTAAATTTAAGTGGAATTTATATGGATTATAATTATATTCATTATTATTAAAACGTGCATAATATATCTTAGAGATATCTTATTACATCCATTTTAATACAAAATAATTAAATATATTCTATGAACCTAAATATATTGAAATGCTATTATAACATAATTACGATTTAGAAAGTTAGGAAAAGCTTATTTTATTTTTTCATTCAATTATTTCATATTGTGAAATATTTCATTTTATTGAAAATTCCATATTTTAAATTAAATACATATATGTATACTTCATTGTTGTTATTATATAAATATCATACTCATACATTATTATGAATAAATAATCAATGATGTCATTGTTATTTGTAATTATATATATTATATTTTTCTGTTCTATTAGATGCATAAAATGTATTTATTTTTTGAAGTAGAACATTGCATTATCACTCTTGTACGAAAAAATCAATAATCCCTAAGGTGTGTCTTATTTATTTATTTTTTACTAAATCAGTTATAATAAATCATATGATCATTAGAATTAAAATATAAAAGAAATTTTTTATATATCATTTTATTTATTTAACCGCTTTTTGTTATATAATTACGATCTTCATGAAATTTAAATATTTGTTATATGACTACTATTAAAAAAATAAAATTATTCTTAATTAAGACACTGGATCATATCCTTACATTGGTTATATTGTAATATATTTTGAAACTTTTAGTTGAATTTTTAGGAATGTGTGTTTCTAAATTCAATAAAAAAATACTTCGGATTTTGTATAATTATAAACAACAAATTTTAATGAATGAGTTAATTTTATAATGTATATACTGTTAGCATATACAATCTAACGCATAATTTAAGAAAGAATAAAAATAAATGTGCTTTATACACTTAATGGAGGTTCTATATGTAATTATTTTAAAAATTGTGTGGATAAGGAATTATAAATATATTATTCATTCTTTCGCACGTAATATAAATATTTTTTATATCATTACCATGATTAAATGATAATAAAAATTTATGTGCATTTTCTTAAAGACAATTTTCAATACTTCTTTCTGTAAAATAACTAATACATATAGTTAGTCTAAAAATAATACATTTCATGACATGGCATTATTTTATAATATACACTTTTTATATAAAAAATAAGAATTCAGCTAATTATACGTATAATACATTTATAATGAAATCTAAAAACAAAATACGATTGTACATTAAGATAGCTATTTAACTAATTTGTAATAAAGTAATTCAAAAATTAAAAAATTATATAAAAATAAATGTAAATACATAGTATATTACTTTATCTTAATCACGTAAACTATAAATTCTTATAAAATTCATGCAAAAAACAAAACATGTTAGCGTTATAATTAATAAAAAATAATGTGAAGCATGCGCTGATTAGGGTAAATATAAATTAATAATTATTTTAATTATACATTAATTTAAAATAAATTTATATAAAATAATTTTAAAATAAAAAATTACTTCTTATAAAAGTAAAATGTTGTACAAAATATTAAGTGAATCTTATAAAAATTATTACACTTTCTCATAAAAAACATTTATATGTTATATGATTGTGCAGTGCTATATCAGTATCAGAAGTGGAATTCAAGTGATATACAAAATTAGCATTAAAAAAATATGTTTTATAATTCATGCCTAAATAGAAATAATGCGTTTCATATAATTATAGCTTTTGATTAGTGTAAAAACATGTAAACCATATACCTTATATTATTTCACATCCTAAGTTTCCTTTCTGCATAATGAACAAATGTATATTTATTTTATATAATGCTCAAAATAAAAAAAAAAAAATTTGTAAAAAAATAAAAAAAAAATTTCGTTTGTATAATGAACAGGGAAATATAAAATTAATTTCTTTAACGCAATGTAATGTCTTTTGTGATTCATGTTTTCATTTATTAAATATTTATATAATTTTAGGTGAATAATACAATGAATTGTTAATATAAGGGTTAATGATTCATAGCACATCATGATTATGATATTATCTCAATTGTTCTAATCTATAGTGTGATAAAATTAATCTGTTCATAATATGCATATAATTTATATGTTGTAATATATATAAATGCATTTATAGTTTTCATTTACAATTTATCATAATTATATATCAATCGTTGCATAATATGAAATCATAGATACATATTACGTGTCTTAATTATATATGGTTTATGTAAATTATTATTATTAATGGTCTTACATGAATTCTTGTATAATAACAAATGATTTTCTCATATATAATTCCTAAGGGAGAAAATAAACTTACGATATTCGTAAACAAAATAACTTATGTATAATTTATAGAATTTTTATATGGGCAAATAAACAAAATAAAAATATCTGTATTATATTTCTTACAAAAAACAAAGCATAATTTAATTCATGTAATAGAGTAATTTAATATATAATATTATAATTTTTAACATATATTATTATCAAGTATAATTAATCCAAACACATTATTTTAAGTTAAATCTTTTAATTCCAATAACAAAATTATTGTCATGTTAATAAATAGATTATTTTCTTAAGCACAATTTGAATAATTTATTATAACTTTTTTTATTATGCAATATTTAACATTAACTTATATACACTTTTATATATTATAAAGATAGAATGCTGCAATGTAAAATAAGAAATGTCTTAATATAATATATATTTCAAAATTAATATATTTTAATGATCTAATTATGATCATTATAAATATGTATTTAATAATATATAGAGAAATTATCTAAGGTTAAAACTGTGTAATATATTAAGTATTTTAATTAAGCATTCCTTTTTTAGTGTGTTATAAACATTTATTATATAAATTTGTTCTATTTTCATTTAAATAATATCCTATGTCATTTTATTTATTTTGTTATTTCATTAATATATATCTTATTGTATATATATTCTAATATCTCTTTTTTTATGTTAACTTAATGGTACTATCTAATATATGGAAATTTTTTTTCTTGTCTTTCTACATTTATTTTTATCACCAAATTTCAATATTACCTTTTAAATAATTTATCAAATCACTACATATTATATGGTTTATGTTGGTATTATGCAGGATTATATATTGCGCATTGAAATAACAGTTAACACTATTTTGTATGCGCAATATGCTTATGATTTACTTGCAGTATTATTTTTATAAACCCTTAATATCTCTAAAAATATTATAATTTGATATATTCCTCACTATGAGGAAAAATAAATTATCGGAGATATTAAAAGTAATATTCATGCACCATGGACAATTATTATTATTCCACTATCATTATGATCCAGTTTACTAATAATAAAAAAAAAATTCTCTGAAATATATACTTAAGGAGACATAAAATTTTAATTCTATTTAGGTATATTTTGGTGGGCCATCCCTAGGATTGCCATCAGAACAATTTTACAAAAGCTTGGATAGTGAATTCTTTAATTATAAACCTAGAAACTTATGGAAAATAACCCATGAAGAGTACGAAGCATATAGAGGAATATGTGAATCCTTCAATAAAGATCATGAAAATGATTGGTTCAGAAAACTTTGTTTAGTACTATTAAGGTACATTAGAAACGCAAATACAGTAACAGATAACCAAAATAATGACTACGACGATTGCGCACTTTTGAATTTTTGGATATACGAAAGATTATCTTTGATATATAATAATAATTATTCCATCATTACTACCATGTTTGCTAAACTTCAGTTATTATGGAATACTCTTGTTTCAGATCAAATATATAAATCATTTTTCAGTAAATGTAATCCTAACTTTCATATACACGTTAAGAATAATTGGAGAAAAATAAAAGAGTTATATGATTATTGTGTAGATTATCAAACACTTTATAAAACTGCTGTAAATTTTAACCCCAATCGCAATTATATTTATAGATATTTAAAAAAAAAAGCTCCATTATATAAAGAATTTGAGAAAAATTGTCTTCACGATAACAATAATAAGTGTTTAGAATTCTACAATAAATGTAAGGAATATGCTCCGGATCACGTGATAAATGAGATTAAATGTATAATTGAAAAGAAAAGCAATAATTCTCATAAATATGAATTAGATTGTAAACGGGAATTAGGGACTCAATCCGATGGGGTGTTAGTAGATGGAGGTGATGATATGCTTGATTCACTAGATGGACTTACAGTTGATGTTGATTTATCACCATCAATAAAAGGAGAAGATGAATTTGTTGGTTTATATGTAAACAGTGAAACCTCAAAAACTATAATAATATTAGGAAAGACATTTCTTGGATTGACACTATTTACTATTCTTTCTGCCATTTTGTATAAAGTAAATATATATTATACAAATTTTCTATGCACTTTCTTAATGCATTTAATTCCATAAGAAGCAGTAATTGATAAATATATATGTTATTTTAATCTTTCTATATACAAGTATACACCCATAGGAATACAAATGCACAAACCATTTCGACGGAAAAAAAATAGTATAAACCACATAGATGGAAAACAAGATGTGTTATTTGACTATTCATCAGGATCATATAATTTAAATTATATGAATGGAGAAGAATATTATGTAGGATACCATAATGAGTAATATTTTATGATTCAGAATATATTATAACGATATATATATTAAAGGGCAATAAAAATAAGAAAATATATGTTAAAATTATTATGTCAAATAATATGAACAAAAAGCAAAATAATATTCAATATGTATTAATAAGCACATTGCAAAAACACTTTTATAAAAAAAAAAAAATAAACTAAAAATTGAATAAAATATTTATTTATTATACTAAATAATCCATATAAGAAAAATTATTATATATATATACAAAAAATATGACTACTCCTATTTTATTCTATATTGATAATTATATCTCATAATAAATAATATATTAAACATAAGACTTAGTTACAAACTTTATAGGTTAATGTAATTGAATAATATTATTTACATATATTGTCAGAAATTATTAATCATGATATAAATAGATTAATCATAAAGTTTCATTAGATGTATATTTTAATATAAATTTGAGATACATACACTTCGACTAAATAGAATGTGAGAGGGTATATATAAAAAGAACATATGTTGCAATTTCTTCATTATAAATAATATTTTTTTATTTTATTGGCCTTTATTATAGATTTTATTACTTATATAATTATAAAATTCACTGTATTTTATATGTATTTAATTTATACATATAAATAATAGTAAATAATATTATAGCAAAACAGGAATTATATTATTAATATATTTAGTATAGTTATTTATATATATAATTTTATTCTATACTTTTTACTTGTAATGATTTTATATCTATAGGAATACAAAATTTATCCCATACATATTATGTATAATTATTATTTTATAAAATTTATAAATGTTATATAATAAGATCATTCGTTATGCATTAACAGACAATTTTTTATATTAATTAATAATAATTTAATTATAGTGTTAACTAATATTATCATCTTTGAAATATATAGAATAAATTTTTTTTTGAAATATTAATTTTCATTTTTATAAATTATTTTCTGTTTTATATTAGTTATTTGTTCAATTTAGAAACAATATATTTATTTTTTTTATATAATGATATTGTTTGTTTAATATTTTTTTTTTAGGCTGTAACAAGTATTTTTTAAAAAATTTTAATGTAACAGCATACTTATTAACACGCTTATATTTGATAACTAAAAATATTCCCTATCATTATAACGAATTTATCAATACAATTTTCTATATTATACTAATTCTTTTCTATTCTTCTATTATATACTGTGATTCATAGAGTTATTTGATATAAATGTTTATAACTAAAAATAAATTTAAAATTAAGGAGAATCGATAATTAAGTTTATAGTTAAAAATCAATGTTAAATTTACACATTTTCAAAAAGGCTCATAATTTACAAAAAAGAAAAAAAAAAAATTACACAAATAAACTTTAAATCATTATAAATATGAATGACTTATTTTGTCTATTTTCATTTCATATTATATTAATGTTCATCCAACATGAAAATAGAGTTCCATCGTGTTTATATGCTAAATATACAATATTTTCTATGAGGAATGCAGGAAAAGGTAAAAATAAGAAATTATTATCATTAAGATGCAAATAAATTATAATCCATATAATTTTAATACATATATATAACATTATATTTTATTTTAATATTTCATAATGCAATTTCAAGGTAAAAATTCCTGTGGAAATTAATAAGTTAAAAAAATTATTGACAATCATACTATGTAAATTTCACATGCATTTATAGCTACATACATTCAGAAATTAGGTTACATTATTACATAATTGAAATCCATAAATTATGCAACAAAAGTTATTCTTTAAAAATGTGTATAATGGTTATAATATTTAAGATTATCTTATCATAATAATTTTCATTCTACTGCTGGATGTAAATTATTATGTGATTTTATATAGAATATATTAAATAAAAAAAAAAAAAATCACATTTCAATATGAAAATCCTATTAATAAAATTTATAGTAATAAACACATTATAATTAAATATATATTTAGATTAGATATACACAATTATAAAGTTAATCCTTTACTTTGCTTAAAATTTAATTACAAATTCCATATTTAATGCTTATAAATAATTATGAAAATAAAAAAAGCACTAAATATTATAAAATCATATAACTAAATGTTTAATAAGTATTATATTTGCAATGATATTAATTATTCATAATCTCTAAAAAGCATTAGGATGTAATGGTACAATAAAATTATGTAATATATAATATGTATTATAGTGTTAATCATAAGGATCACTGATAATATTTAATAATATGTAAAAAAATTTTATGCTTTATAGTCATTTAAACAATATTTTATAATAATTTATAAAATAAAGAAAATTTAACTAATTATTACATATATTAAAAAATGAACAAATTTATATGTAAATATATATTACAATTGTAAGTAAAAAAAATTTTAAATATACATTCATTAAACATTGCATCTGAATTGCATATTTTTGATAAAAATTTAATTAATATTATTCTATATTATAATATAAAATAATTTCTCCATATGTATATATGTAAAACATCTTTTTATATATAAATGACGTATCTGCTTACAATAACTATAATAATCTGGGGATATATATGTATTAAATTAGTTATTTTGTATTTAAATATGACACCACATTCAATATAGGTTAATTATATTATTTTATATGCATGAAATTGTATACTTATATTATTATTCTCATTTAACAATATTATCAAATAATGGATTCTTCAAAAATATGTAATTTATATCTAATAAATTATTAGTATTTGAAGACTTCGTACGTTTCCTTAAATATAACATGGAAATAAATATTAATAAATAATTAAATAAACTAAAAAAAAATTAAGGAAAAATTTAAAAAAACAAAAATAAGAGAAGATGTAGCATAATACTAAATATTAATCTTGAATTTTAAATCACAAATTGTACTTTATAACACAAATTATTAATAAATTAGATACAATTAAAAATAAATTATGCCCATACAATATTTAGTAATTTGGACATTATTGTTTTATTATAAATAAGAAATATAGGCCTATAGGAGCATGTTATTTTCATGATAATGATTTCCAATATACAAGGAAGATCATTCTAAATTTTACGTGACACATTGATTACTTTATTATGACTTGTAAGTGTGTTCAACAAAATAAAATACGTTAAGGTAAAATTTATCGTATTAATTCCTCAGTGAATATACCTTTGCAATATTACGGGCACGTTAATAATAATATAATTTATTATATTTACTGTAAGAATATATTTCTTTAGTTACAACGATCCATCAAAATATAAAATATTATGATAAAAATGAAAGCATCAAAAATATGAAATTTATTGAAACATAAACATATGAATAGTATTCATAAATATATCAAGTAAAAACCATTACTGAGAATTGTCAATAAAATAGACAATGATGAATTCCTTTCATGATAATTATGAATCCTTCATCCTGGACATCAGACAATCCAATAGATCATCTATTTTAATTATAGAGTGAGTTATACCTACAATTATAGGAACACAACTCATTCATACGTTATTGTATAGAGAAATATAATAATAAAGAAATGACTCATTCTTTTATAAAATAATTCTCATAATTAATATAAAATCATGGATAGTGCAATTGTACTAATATATTTTTAAATAAATATATATTTTATATAAAAAAATATTATAACTATTTATTTTTGTACATATACATATTAGAGTACAATAAAAAATTAAATTGTTATTCGTATATTTAATATAACATGTAAAGGCTATTAATAATGTATCAGAAATATCTACAAATAGATATAAAAAAAACATAAATTCTGTTTAATTTATAATTATATAAAAAAAGAAAAAAAAAATCATGTATCATGATATCGAATGAAAATTAACATTAATAGCTATTTAAGATAATATAGAAAGAATAAATAAAATATGTTTTTTAAAAAATAATGTTGTATAGTAAAATATTTCAATATTTATATATTTAAATTTTCTATATGTAAACGGAAAATAAATAGTATGGGAATACATAAAATAAATAAAAAATTACTTACTGTTAAAAGAACTCATTAAAATTAGCAAAATAAATATTATGAGAAAATATACACGATAAAGTAAGTGTATATAATTTTCTATGAAGATATACACTTTTTATTTATTACAAAATATTCAAATATTTCATTATATTAATGAAATATTTTTCAATTATTTTTCATTAATAATCCATAAGTTTATTTTTATTATATATACATTATTTATCCTGACATAAACTAATAAATTAAATATAATAATTTAAAAATATTGAGTCATTTTTACATAGTTTACTTCTTTGTAACCATGCTTATAAGAGAAACAAATGGAAAAAGAATTCTTAAAGTATAAAGGATTTATGTTATGTTCGTTAATACAACAGAATATTTAAAGATATTAAAATAAAATTAAAATCATTTCTGGTTTTGAATTATAAAGAAAAAAAAAATAACCTATACACTATGATCAATTAAATAATAATACTTATATTTTGAATAGCGCTAATCATATAGATCATATATTAAATGTGAAAAAATGTGTAAAAAAAATTTTATTTCCTCTATGATGGTTTTTCAAAATATATATATATATATATATCTTCCTCTACTAATACGATTATATATAAAAATGCATGTTTTATTATTTTATATTATAATTTGAACACCTTTAATACTAATTCTGGAAATAAACGAAATATTACGTAATATTTATATAAAAGTATGACACTTGTCTTAAATATTTATAATGAAAAAGAAAACTATTGTTTTATATATTTTTACCTATTAAACAGAATTCATTTTTTATTATAAAAAAATTATTTTTAATATTTATTATCCTTGTGACTTAACAAATTCACAATAGTATGCGTTATAATAAATATAAAAAATAATTATAATATGCTATAATTATTAAGAACACTCTGATTAACAATTTCTACTTGAATTCATATGTTAACATGTAACATTTGATGTAATAAACAAGATAATAGATATAATGTAAAATAGCTAATGTCATAAGAATTTTATATTCAATAAAATATGTAAATTTTATTAATAAGTTAATATAACATTTATTCTAATTCTTCACCATTGATTTATTAAATTTTATAAAATACAATATGTATAATTATTCCTACTAAAAAAATATTATAATACCATGTAATTATATATTATGTAAAACTTTTATGAATTACAATACCATATATATAAAAAATATATATGTAATTTTTAATTTTCTTATATTGATGAAAAATAAGCTCATTATGTGAAAAAATAAATATATATATATAATTCTTCATTTTATAAGAACATAAAGATATGAAAAATTCATAAATTATTTATATTTACTTATTTAATGAAATATAATTTGTAAGAATTTTTATTATACAATATATATATTTGAAAAATAATAATAATTTTATAAAGGTTTAATAGATATATTGTTAATTAAATAAGGGAAACGAATTATTTCAAATGAAGCATAATATATCTCACTCTGGAAATGTGTTTAACTAAAGTAAAAATAAAATCCATTATTTCCTGGAAAGATTGTTTCGTGTAACAAAATGTTTTTATTTATTTGAGATTTTATATTTTTAACACAATGGATAATAATAGATTACACAAATATTATGTGCACATGGATAACATATATAACAAATTATGATAAAACGTATGCTATATTTTCATGTATGAATGCAAATGAAATTATATAGCATCCTCATAAATAAAATTTGAGGGGATTATACATATGTGATTAGCATATATGTATATAAAAACACAAATATATAAATTTATAGTAATAAAATATAGTACAACTATTAATCATATTACTCCTATATAAAATAAAAAATATCATTGCACTTTCTACTTTATATAAATACATGCTTCGTATGATTTACAATAACAGGTTTTAATAGGGTATTTTTATTTTCGTTTTAAAAAATAATGAAATGTGTGAATCCAGAGATCTATATATCCGTTAATTTCTTATTTAATATTTTGTATATACAGGAATATGCAATATAACATATAATGAGGAACAGAGAAAAAATAATTATACGTATATTCATATGAAAAATGGGCTTAATATAAGTTTCTGTACTAAGTGTATTAATGAAATTAATTAATGTTAATATATAAATGCACATTAAACATTATATGCATACAAGTGGAATCATTTTTTTGTTGTTGTTTGTTTTTTTTCTAAATGATATACTTGTATTCATTATTATATTGTTTAAAAAATAAAAAATATACATCATTTCGTAAATAATTTATTCTATTTTTTAAACTCTAATAATGTTAATAAACATTTTAGTTGGTGGAACTCTTATATCTATATTAAAATTATAAAAATGTGCATAATAATGATATTTTATTCTATATATCCTTATTTTTTATAATTGATGTTTTAATATTTTATTCAGTGCACGTTAAATATAATATTAATTCAGATGGGGAAGTCAATTGTAGTTTTATGATAGTGTAACAGAAATTACAATATAATAATATTTGAATGTTCGTTTGAATTAAAATTATTACAGTTATTACAAGTAGTATAATTTTCGTCTTACATTTATTATTTTATCTTTTCTCTTAGCATGAATTTGTAGAATATTTTCCTAATGGAAAAAAATTGTCAATGAAAGACATGAAACACTTATTGTAAACCAGGTTAATGGTGGTATGAACATTACTCCAAACAACCAAGTTAATAAATATCAAAATATTGAAAAGGTATGCAAAAAAGCAGTGTTATATTTTTCTAAAGTCCTGTATAAGATTAATGACAACGTATTAAAGGAAACATCATTTAAATACTTTTTTTATTGGATTTATTACGAGAACTCTGACTACAATGATATAAGGAATGATATTAATCATTTTTATAAGAAATTGTTCGATGTTTATAAATTACTCTTCCTTCATATAAACCATCAACATAATGAGAATATTATAAAGGTTCAGTTGGAAAAACTCAATAACCTATATAGTACGTATAAGTGTTTTAATAATATAGAATATAAGAATAAAAATAATATGGACGATGAATTCCTTAATGCAGTAAATGATCATTCTAGGCAACATAATACAAAAATTATCACTGAAGTTGAAGAGAATTGTACATCTCGAATATTATACAACTGTCAAACTAGTACTGCCGTTCCTATTATAACTACGACTCTTGTATCATTAATAATATCCTTCATTGCATTTATTGTGTACAACGTTGCTGATGATATTATTTATATATATTTAATAAAAATACTTTTCCAACGTAAAAAAAAAAAAAAAATTGAAAAAAAATTATATTTTTCATGCACAAATTTTATACATTATAAATTAGATTGCTCGATATGGCTCATACTTAAATCATAGAATTATTAAAATAAGAAATTTGAGGAACAAAATTGATAATGAATGTAATGTATTTTAACAATCTCAAACGTCTAATAGTATATTAAGGGAAAGTAGATATAATATATTATATCATTCTGAATAATTTTACAATTAAATGTGTAATTTGTAGAAAATACTTTTCTTAGCATCATAATATATGTTGTAAGAATATTATGAAAATAATATATATCCTAATAATTTCATTTATATATGAAATAATTGATTTAATATACTGAAAAAACTAAATGAACATTAATTTTACAGATTAATAAAATATTGTTTCATAACAAAATATTTATGTATTTTCAATGTACTATTCTCTAAGATTATAAATGTTGAACAAGAATACTAATAATATATTTCTTGTTTCTAATGCCCTAATATACGATAGTTAGAAAGAACATTCCATTATAAGTTGTCATATGTACCATTCTAACTATATTAATAATATCATTAATATATTAGTACAGCAATGTTAATTGCATATTCTAATATCAATTCTACACACAATATACAATATTTCTATATGTGTGATTCTATTTTATTAAGTATTGCTCTTGAAAAACATATGTTTATTATCTTAATATACACATTAATAATTAATATAGAAATATAATTATTACGACTATTTGCGTATTATTCTATAATATTAAGCGCCTTATGTGTTCCTATATTTATAATATCGTTAAATGAAATTATTTAATATATAAATTTTAGTATTGTAAGGAAGAGCACAAATTATAGTATATTGCACGTGTTAAATTTTTCTCTTATAATTATATTTACTATATGCATTCGCATACTTTTTAATGTAATACTTTTTTATAACGTATATAATATTGCAGTAAATTTTTCAGTGCATATACGAGCTTTTTAAAATAAATAAAAGACAACTAATTTATTTTTTTAAAGATATAACATGACGCAAAATTACAATATTATATAAAAAAAATGTGAAAATGAGATGAATAATATTCGAAACTCTTAATTATTTATTTTCTTAGAATTTAGTATTATTACCACAAAGTTATAATATCAAGAAATGTCATATAGTAATATTCTCTACATTTAATATAGATAACAATTAAATTTGTTAGGCATAACCTTCGCTAATAAAAAATATATTCCCTAACATATATATTTATGGCAAGTGGATAATTAGGTACATCATAAAATATTGGTTAAAATTTAACTTATTTTGTTTCTTATCATTTATATTATATCAAGTTAACCATACATCATTGCATATAATTATAATATTCTATTATGTCATTACCCTAGCTCTCCAGTTTTAATTGAATTTGTGTGAACAACATCTCTGTCTTGTCTAATTTTATAATATTATTTATTTTTATATTAAATGTGCACATCCGTTAGTTTAATAGTTTGTGTTAGATTTAATATGTATTTACGATTTTTTAATTACTCTAATATATTATAAATTAATACAATTTTTAGAATCATTTATTATGAAAAACTATGATATGGTAAAACACATACATAAATTACTCATAAAATTATGAATTCACTTTTATATTACATAACCCTTAATTCGTGACTTTTCCAATATACATTATTATTTTTGCTTTCTTGCATCACATTAATAACTGTTCATATGATCCTACTTATTAATTTTTTTCAATTAGAAATTTACCCAAAATAGTTTCAAGCACCATGATGTGCAAAATATAAATGTCCTATGTGGTAATCTATGAGCTCAGATTCAGAGTCATATAATGTTAGTTCACGTACTAATATCTAATCTTGACTTATGTTTAATTTTTGCTTCTTTATTTTATTGATATATGACATTGATACAGAAGATGTACACTAATGTATAAAAGGAGAAGTATATGATTAATTAACAGATAGCAACATAACATATATATATTATAGCTGTTAATATAAAATTCTTACATATATAACTATAATTTATATTTACACGATAGAAAAGATATAAAAATATAATTGTTCCTTATATTTATGCGACCAAGATAAAGTGATACGAATGTAATTAGTTTAATATATTACGAAGTGTTGCTATAATACTGAAATCACCATTTACTGACTTAACATATTTGATGGGACAGCTCAAGAACGTTGTGCGCATTCATTGGACTCCACAAGATAACAAAATTTTGATGAGAAATTATATTTACTTCATTTTTTCGATTCCTAAGTCCAGAACTACTTTACATTCATCTCGATTTATATTCTTACATGAATCTATGATGGCCATAAGGACACTTGAATCCTTTTTTTTTTCATAAGTAAAATAACGTTCTCAATTGTACTCAACATTTTCACATATGCAACGTGTCATACTCATCATTATACATCATATGAATAAGTTTAATGTATATGTGCTATTTTAAATACATTTTTCAGTGCATTTTAATCAGAACTATTGCTTTGCGTATATTTATATTGTTCAATATTATCATGTAAATCTTTCTTATCCTTCCAGCACTTAGGGACATATAATTCATAGAATAGACATCTTCGAAATTCAGGATAATTTTCCTTTAACAGTGGTACTAAGTGAAACGTTTTAACCCTCCTATATATATTTTTTTTAGTTCTTTCATATTGTAGTACTTATCCCCTATTTCATAATGGAACGAATGGATTGAATTTAAAGCCCATATATTTCGTTCATTGCTCTCCTTGTCGGATAATCCTAGTAAAGGTTTTGCAATCTCTTCACACTGAGTTTTGTCATATTCGTTAATGTTTTCCAAATTATTGAAATAATCAGTGTTATAATTTATAATATGAACTGTAAAAAAGCCTTCATATTTTATAAGGGTATATGTATTTGGAAACTTTTCCTACAGCTAATTAGTTAGAAAATGTAAATAGTATTACATAAATGTATGGTTCCTTAAAAAATAAAGTCTTTCACTGTTTCTTAAATTATTGAAAATATTGACATACTTGTCTATCTATACATTGAAATGTTAAATATAGATACTTTATCTGATTTAATGTTGCCATCCTTTTTATATATATGACAACTACATGAAATAATGATGTTCATGAATTGGGGGCTATTTATTAATGGTATGTAGTAACATATGATATACTGATATGTGGTTCTTTACTGTGCATAATTTAAAGAAACAGCCTATGGATTATAACGGAACACATTTTTTAACTATCAGCAAACATTTCTATCGTGTTACTACATACAAAATTAAAAATTTTAAGTAGTCATTAATTTATAGGGGGATTCACTCTTCTGCAAAATATCAACATAATAGAGTATCATATAACACTGTGCATAATATAATATAAAACAAACCATTCTCATTTTCTCTTGGTGCAATATGTAACGTTTACATGTCTTCAGTGAATATATATATATTCAAATATAATCTATTAAAAATTCTTCTTATAATAATAAGTATACTTTCAATGGATAAATAATATCTTAACTCTTCATCTAAAAAAGTGTAAATCGTATTTTTATTCTATTATCTCTTTTCAAGCGTTATTAGTATCATTCATTTATTTATACATTTTAAACATGGACTTCTTAAAATTTTGGTGTCAGTAAAACACAAATGTAACATAATAAAAAAAATTTAATATAAGGCAATTTATTTTAGATTCCTGCGTAAATGATTTTATGTGTGTCGCAAAGTGTTATAAAGTTCATTTGTGTATTATTCCATACTGTGAAATTATATAGTAAAGCATGAAGCCTCGTTGTTTTTAAAATTTGGCATGCCAAAAAAAATTAGCTTGTTCGAACACATATATTTTAGCTCATAATAAACAAGAGTTTAAATATTAATGTTCTTATATATAAATATAAAATAAGCCTTTGTGATAAATAATTTGAAAAAAATGGCATTTTATTTAATTAATAATTACAAAAACATTCAAAACTAGTTTTACATTCATATTACAAAAAGTATATTTGGAAAATTACTATGACACAAAATATTTATAAATTTCAAATGAAAATGGGAAATTATAATCATAAATTTATACACACAAATGTAGTAATTTGTTTTTTTCTATATAATTCATTTACTTCCGTTTCATATAATCATAATAGCGTTAAAAACATTTTATTAAAAAAAATAATGAACACTATATTTATTACATTTTTTTTATTAAGTTGTGGTTACAATTAAACACACATAATACTCTTTTAATTAAGAAATACAATTTAATTATGATAGAGCTTCTTAAATATTTTAACGTCATGTAGGTATAAATTCAGTATACATTTAGTAGTTCCTTTTAAAAAAAAATTGCCGTCATTATTTTTACATATATGAATTGGAACGTTATTTAATTTTTTCTTCTAATTTACATTGACAATTTGTAGTAATGTTTTATTCTATTTTTGTCCACTATATTTATAGTGTAAAAACACTTAAGTTTATACATAAAGCATAAAAATATTATTTCGCTTATTATGTACATTATGTTATTTAAATATCCTTCAACATATGTGCATCTTTGCACATATATATTCTTGTATATTAATCTTACTGCG